ACTTTATTGAGTAGCTGGGCACAGTTTCTTGTTAAGACTGTTACGTGGATGTGTAATGAAGGATTTGATATAGGACTGCACGATACATTCTTCACGATATGATATGTATCCCGATAGTGAGTGAGTATGGTTTTACGCCGCTTTTAGCAATATCCTGCAAATCGCTGCGAGGGACACTAGAAATGGACTTTACACATTGTACCCGTATGGGAAATCGAACCCGAGCCTTCGACGTGACGAGCCCCTCGCGATAATAAGATCGCTATTAGTTATACGATTCATGAAAAGTAATTTGAATAAATGTTAATGACATGGTGGCCCATGTTCCGTTAGAACTGGTAGACTAAATAGTTACAGTTTATTTTCCCACTTTGCAAATTGTCCTACTTTCACGTTAGGGCTGGGACAGGTAACCCGGATACCTGGGATGGGTGGGTGATGAGTTGGACCAGGGTACCCGTCTCAATACCCGGACCCGTTATGATCATGTGACTAATAGATCAAACAACGTAATATGTTAAGATTTTGAAAAACTCGAAACTGTAGCCTCCGAATTGAAGAATATATTGCCATTTCTTGCAAATTTGATGTCAGGAATTAACATAACGGGTATCCGGGTAGGACAATAGGGGGTTGGGTACCCGGATAGAAAATTTTGACCCGTCCCAGCCCAATTTCATATACAGTGAACGTTTTGAGATACCGGCATATGATCTAATGCTGCGATATCGATTCATGACCCACAAAAGTCATACATGTTATTTAACATAACTAAATAGTCGAGTGAGGTCATTATTGGAAGAATTGTTTAACTGAGCAAATTCCGTGTGTCTGACAGTGAACATATATGCATGAGTTACTGTTGTCAACCCGAAAACACGGATTTAATAGGTAGTGTCGATTAGCGACAGACTAAATGTTTTTACAAATGTTAGTTCCAAACATACTACAAAAAATACTCATAATTGACATTCGATGAAATAAATTATAAACAATCTTCAATGGATCGATGCTTAATCGGAGCAGCATCAACTTCAGGTCCAATGATCCTACAGCTGAAATGAGAATGGGTGCAGTCTGATTTTACTGTTAAGATAGCATTAAATCATAGCAATTAATACTCCCTCGCTGTAACCCGTGTTAGGTGGTATAAACCTACACATGTTATTTGTCATCATTCACTTGATGGTCAGTTAATGAATTTATAACAAGTATAATTAGTGGTAACACACTTAGATTACCCGACAAAGGTTCTCATTTGGCATTTCTTGTGTCTGGAGTAAATATTCAACATTATAAACATCGATCAAAGGATTAACCGATAACACGCTGATTGATTAATTACTTTTATCTTACACAGCGGAATTGTCAAAAGGTAGTGTTTATGTATGTAGATTTACTAATCTATACTGAATACACTCTGTCGTGTCGGTGTCTGCGTAAAAACAACGTCCTTCTTTCAAAGGATTAACCGGCAATACATTGATTGATTGCCCATTATTGGCTAACTAAATTACTGTTTTTAAAGAAAGGCGGACATTATGCAATTAGTTGCCAGGTGTGCTATCTTGGGTGACCAATGAGACTATACAACAATACCTGAAAAGATTTATCACTTTTTCGTATATTAAACTGTTAAAAGACACATCATTTGGAACAGTTTTGTGGATATTGATGGATACATTCCTCGAACAAGGTAATGGCCTGATATTGTTCCTATGGTTAGGTCTACTATGTTGATGAATGTGTGATACTGTGTGTATACATGTAAATTACTTTTGGTTACCACAATGACTTTATTAATGAGTGTGGTAGTTGACTGTGTGAAAGATGTATATATGTATATGTAATCATGAATCAAATTAAGTTTTAATTACATTTTAATCCAAATAAATGATTATGTTTATTTATGTAAATTTATTTATCTCAAAACAAACTACTATGTGAAAGATATGAATAAAGTTTAAGAAAATTAAGAAAAATATGACAACAATGTGAAAGATATGTATATAAATGTACATATGTATATGAATGACCAAATAAAATGTCTCTCAACATAGAAAGTTACTGTTTTCTATATACTGTAGGCATTAGTGCACTTTGAAATAGGACCATGCCACTTTATTGAAAGGTTGAAGGCAGGTGCAATCAGCAGCACTGGTGCGTAAAGTTGTTTATTTAACACTGTAGGCATTATTCACTGTAGGCATTAGTAGACTCCACCGTTCCTATAACTTTAACCTGTTTTAATTTTAATATTTGCATTTTGTTTTTATTCATTTGTCGTAGCATTCAACAGAATCATTGTTTTCGCCGTGAAGTGTAATGAGACAGACAACATGCACTAGGGTGTGTGTGCGCAAATTATGATTCACATTGGCAAACTATAAAATGTCTAGATATTACAGTTCTGTTATAAATTCACTATAAGTATCAGCAGATCGTCTGCTTTTTATTTAGTTTCAAAATGCATACAAGTGTGATAATTAACTAATTAGGATTATAAGACCAAATATAAAGACGCACATTGACTAGTATCTACATACTGGTGAGTGGACATTAACCATGGGAATGTAGCAAGAAATTTATCGCGCAGTATTGTGACTTCGACCTTTCCTACACAAAGAATATGAAAGCCAAGGGTGGAACCAGACATTCCTAGGAATCTTTTGATAAACAGGATTATGAGCAGTTTCTACGTCTTTCGTGTTAAAACTGTTTGGAGGTGAAAATGAACCAACCCACTGCCTCCTTTTGTTAATGGGTGAGTGAACTTTGTTTTACGCCGCTGTAAGCAATATTCCAGCAATATCGCGGCAGGGGACACCAGAAATGTGTTTCACACTTTGCACAAATATTGGGAATCGAACCCGGGTTTTCGGCATGACGAGCGAACGCCTTAACCACTAGTCTAACCCACCGCCCCTCTTTGTTAATGAAGCAAGGACAGCGCTTATAGTAGCCATTGTGCTTGACAACTACCGTTAAAAAGACAGGCAAATCAAGTCTATTTTATTATTTTTCTTTACCGCTTCTCTCAGCAATATACCAATAACATGGCGGTTGCTTCAATCTAATCTGGATCATATAAACCCGTGATTAATATTATGAGCAACGTTGTATGGATACGCTGACACACAATCAGTCAAATCACCGATCCTGACCACCTGATCCGTTTAGGGGATTCTACTTCAGCAAAGGGAACCCCACGGGCTCAGGTCAGATAATGCATCCATTAGACCGAGAGCTCCTTTCTCCATGTAGTGTGATGCCCAAGTACGTATGCCTTAACCGAGAAAATATGGCGTATACCAAGGAGAAGCATATAAACATTGAATGGTGTGTCAATATAACGGTGAGGGCTTTATTGACCAGAATCGATAAGACCTGCTGATAAGCCTTTTGACACATATACATGTTAAACGTGTGGTGATAGATCACTCAACACACGCAGGTTTTGAGTCATTAGCATGGACATCATCCGGTCTACATGCTCATAGCACATATTGTGTTTACAAAACAATTAATTACGACAGCCAGGAGTAGGTGGTTTATAAAACCTAATGGATAAATCTTGCATCTCATACATGCGCAATTGGGATATGTCATATTTGACACCCATTCAATATCAAAATGATCGGACACGACTTGTAATACATCAAATAGCAATTGGTTGTGCAGATGACATGACGTGATTGGGAGTTTTTTCGATATAATCTGCTGTTTTCAAGATTGATCACGACGAACACTTGATAATTGAAACCGTTAAGATCCTGGTTAGAATTGATCTTCAGCAACCCATGTTTGTCGTAAGAGGTAACTAATGGCATCAGGCTTGCTGACTTGGTTGACACATGTTATCGTATTCCAATTTCGTAGATTGATGTTCGTGATGTTGATCACTGGATTGTCTGGTCCACACTCGGTTATTTACAGACAACCGTCATACATACAATATTGCTGAGTGCGGCGTTAAACAACAAACTTAATAATCTAGTGTGGCCAGACAAACCAGTGATTGAGTTGACAGCAAGAGGAACGGTCCACGCCATCGGTGCTTGATACCACAAGAGACCAGTTTACACATTGTAACCACCCATTCTGTCCTGACATTCTGGCGATCTATTCAACCCCAGAACCCCTACAGGGTTATAATTGACATAGGTAAACTGTCGCACAAAACATTAGTTTCACCATACATAGAAAGTGTCGGCCAGTGACACCGGTGATCCAGTGAATATAGTCCTGGACTATGCTGCTCAATGTAAGTGTTGCCCACCTCCCGTCATTTCGTGACCGAGAGTCCAGATCCATACAGTCAGGTCAACAGTCTCTAACAGCATTCACACTGAGATAGAAAGGTTTATTCGAACCTGATAATGGATACCAATAATTCTTTGGAAATAAGGGATTGTACCATTTCAAAATATGAACACAACACCCTTTAAGAAATCGTTGTGATGCAATATGCAGTGCTCTTAGAATAATCTTTAATACTCTTAATGTCTTTTTATAAGACCTACGACTCTCAAGTATATTAACAAGTGGGTTTATTGCCTATTAAAAGTTCACCAGGTATTATAAGAGTAACACAGGTGAAATTTCTACTTCAGTAAGGCAAGGTTGGCCTCTTTTCCCTATTCATTTCTAACAAGAAAGGTCGGTTTTGTGCTCTACATTGCTGCTATCGCTACTCCGCGAATGCGTCCCTTTACACTTTGTATCCTTATTCTTTACTCACACTACATGTCTATAGGCTGGCCTATCCAACTAAAGGAAGAGTTCTGGGTCAGGGCATATGTGAGTATTGTTCTATGAGGAGCCATTGCATTTATTGTGGCGTTTGCCATGAGTCGAACAAGTAGACTTGTGGAGTTTGACGGGAGGTCCTGATTGTTGACACGCTTTGATAAAGACAAGATTAGGGGGTCGTTAGGTATTTCTGGCAACGAAGCTCGCTCGTTCCTTAATCATATGTACAAACCCACAATGAAATAGGATTGTATTTCATTTCTCTGTGGTGGCATTGTGACATGATACACTGTTCGTATAGGGAGGTAGTTTTACTAGGTATAATTACCACCTGTTCTGAGAAGGCGTCATGGATCAGATTCAAGGGACATGTAACAAGGTAAGTGGAATTACTGACCATTTTTCAGAGGAGCTAGGACATTTGTTTAAGGAAGATTTTCTTAGCTGGTATAAACGTGTTTTCTAAGGAAGAGCTAGGCAACAAACAAACACTTGCTTTGTTATGCACATTGTGAGAGTAGGGTGCTGTCCCTGAGTAAGGCAGGTCATGCTTACACCGCCAAAGCCTGGTGTCAAGGGTTTCGGGGTTTTTTTCATATAACTTTCATCATTATTTTGCCTTTTGCCCAGTGGAATCAGGGCAGACAGTCGAGACTGATTATTCTCAGTCATTACGTCAATATATAGGGTCATTGTAAAGCAAAACAGATATGTATCTCACAAACATGCTTTATATACTCATGCCAATAATGGTTGTCACCCCCTTGGGGTGTGGGGTTGGGATGTGAGGTGTGTGTGGGATTTGGTTGGGGAGGGGGTGACAACCATTATTGGCATGAGTATATATCGGTATGTTTTTACAAAATGTCTAGCATGTTAGTAAACGATATATTATTTTTTGTGAAACTTAAGGACACAGACGGTCCCAGATTACCTAATAGTCGGCCCTTCATTTCTGTTCGCTTCATATGTACAGTGCATCAAGGGGTCACACGTTTGATCATTTTCACGCATGCTTGATCTGATTCGTTACAACAGGTAGAAACCAACACCGGCACTAGGTGTCATTTATTGTTAACCAAGTCTATTAAACTATTTTGGAAACATACCTTGAATGCGAGTTTGTAAGGTCACCTGTACGTTTATCCTAGCGTACGCATAAACAGTTACAGCTAGTTCTGTGACGGTTAAACTCACTGAGGTCGATCTTGCTGGGTCATTAACCAGTGTAAATAGGAGACAGTCTTGTGAATAATTTAAGCGCTGCTGTAAGCTGTGGTTTTGACACTAATTGTATCTATAAGTAACAACGGTGATTTATGTCCAGCATATGTCCATTGTGTACTGGATAAGGGATCATCAGTATGTGTAAATTAGGAGCGAGGGGGATTTGCCTCTGCACAGTGTCTCACATATCTGTACGCAACGGAACTGTGTATTGTTAGAATCTATGCAACCGTGGATAGAATGTCAAGACGATTACGCTAACGTTCAAGGGAACCCCAGAGAGAAGTGCTTCACGTAGATTGGATTACATGGGCATTGTGTTGTTATGTACATACATGCAGTGCTCCAGAAATGTTTGTGCCATGAGTTTTTACCCATATATCACACATTCACATTGGGTGCTCATATTTTTTGTTAATTCAGCATATGTTTACTTCTTTTGTGTTCAGTCAATTGGGTATTTGGATCTAACGTTGTGTTCATTACGATTCTGCTTTGGGTATGTCAGCTGACTTCTTCTTTGTATCTGTTAATCTACTGCCCGAACTGTGTAACATATGCCAAAAGTTCATGCCACGATACATGTTAGGCACAGCAAGACGTCGTTGTGCATTATTGTCTGCAACATAGTTGTTGTCATGTTATACCCCTAATCAACCAAAATCCATACCTGGAAATACAGGGACGCCATCTGAACAGACTACATTAGGTTAGGAATGAGGACTATTTTTATGGACAACTTCTTTAAGTGACAACGACACTTGTTTGACAACGGCATTAGAATCTGTGTCGAAACGTCACCTATACAGAATAAAGAAGTTGTATATCCATTAAAATAGTCCTCATCCTTCATCTACCCAACTTCTAGAATGCCAATCAAAGAAATACATTAGGTTATTACAGCATAGTCTTGGTTTGTGTCTTTAATGCATATTTGTACCGAGCAACTCTTAAGTGATTTGATAGCTTAATTGGCAATAATAACAAGGTTTCTGGAGCAACATTTAAGCGTAATTACAATTAAATAGTTCAGTTAGTAAGAAAAGATTTTTGCGTTCAACGTGCACCGTTCCGTAGCAGTATTATGCATTATCAAATATGGAAGACAACAGCGGGGTTTCGACAGGAAATTAGATCAATTAGTGATGGAGTCAGGGTGTCTCAGTAATATCTGCAAGAATGTGTTTAGTGAAAAAATACATAAAAGTTACTTGAACCTGAATCATGTACCAAATGGTGATTGAGAGAGGACATGCATGATTATATATTTTTTCAGGATTTATTTTCCCAACTTAACAAAACAGACCTTCCCACAATGCTTCCGACCAGTGAAAATCCGGGTTAGGATTGGTCTTCGGCAACCCATGCTTGCCGTAAGAGGCGACTAACGGAATCGGGTGCGATTGATCACTGGATTGTTTGGACCAGACTCGATTATTAAAAGTAGCTGGAATATTGCTGGGTGCAAACAAACAAACAATCCAATCAGAATGCTTCCTATATATGTACTGCGATTGCGTCTATTGTTTGTTCAGTATTGCCGGCTATCACCCTCGGTGTTGGCTGGTCACGGCTCAAGATAACAAAAGGACTATCACTGACAGTTGATACCCTGGGCACGGTGGACAACACTGTTGTAGAATATAACGATAACATACCAGAGTTGTAGGTCATGGGTCCCTTGTTATACTGACCTCGTGGAAGCGCTGTGAAAAGAGATATTAATGTCGTCATATGATAAATGATACGATGCAATGTCAGGGGGTCAAGGGTGATCTTATCTAAACTGACGTACAAAAGAAAGTATACACCTGATGCTTTGGTAAAATGTTTTCCTGAAAACAGCGTAATGGTTAGAAAAGTGTTTTGGTTGCAACTCACAAGTTACAAATATTGTGTACGTGTTGCAATAACACCATAGATATCGTACCCAATTGGAACATTGCTAGCAAAATATTTACGTTGTTTTAATAGTCTCAAAACACCAGGTGTGTAGTTTCTTTTGTACATCAGTATAAAAGGACAATTCGATATGAAGAGATACATGCTGGTGTATTAATATACATATTGCAAACACATGATATAAACAGTAGCGATTGAACGCCTCATCTGGTTACACGAAGCACCCATGTGTGCATATTATCTGTTAAAGTAGCAATCTGTGGAGATTTCAGAACGGACATCTTGCTATCTTATGTCATCTGTTAAAGTGGGAATTTGTGGGTATTTCAGAGCGGTAAATTCACATTTCATATTATCTGTTAAGGTGGAAATTTGTGGATATTTCAGAATAGAAATTTAATATTTCATATTAGCTGTTAAAGTGGCAGTCTGGATATTTCAGAACAAAAATTTCTTATTATTTGTTAAAGTGACAATCTGTGGATATTTCGAAACGGAAATTTCATATTGCATTTTATCTGTTAAAGTAGCAATCTCTGGATATTTCAGAAATGTCAACTACTGGATGGCATGAGATGTCTGGTATTTGAAAGGAACACGATATTTTAAAGCAGTTGCTTGCTTTCACGAAACAATTTATCTCTATTTTGTTGGACCAAACCCAGAATTTCAGGCAGCTGTTATATTGTTGGAATGTACCTCAGACAGAAGGGATTATCATAGTTGTAATCTTTATTCACGATGCATCTTTTCAGATGAACAATTGACTTGGCTTTGCATGTGTTTGTGACGGGCGCTAAGCTCGGACGGGATACATTATAGACATTGATTCAAAAATATCAAGATTTACTTGGCATCGGAATTCTGCTTTTGGTACATAGTTCTTACTACTATGGAAATAATTGTGTTTTTTTGTCGTTTGCGTGTGTGAATATATGCATATGTAAAGGAACTGTAAAATTTATTAAATCTAGTGATGGGCTTATACAATGTTGGTCTACTCTAGAAAATGTATATGCATGTACGGAAACCATGCTACATACTATATATTTTGGAATGCAGGTCGATACGTAACAGGGCAGGAATGTTACCCTTTTAATGAACACCTGGTGTCACGACTGATTTTCAGTGATCTATTCATGTAATGTTCACCAATATTTTGACTTTTTCTCTTGGAATCTGATACAGCGGATAATCAAGACTGGCGTTGACTTTTTGTATGTACTGGGTAACATATGTCTGTCTGTCCATGCCCTCCTATCCGTCTACACCTCTGTAGTTCTAACTGTGAGTACACATGCCCAAGTTGGTAGTGTTTTGCCGCAAGCCGATTACCCTTGAAGATACGGGTTAGAATTGGTCTTTAACAACCCATGCTTGTCGTAAGAGGCGACTAACGGGATCAGGTTCGCTGATTTGATTGACACATTCCATCGTATCCCAATTGCGTAGATTAATGCTCATGCTGTTGATCACTGGATTGTCTGATCCAGACTCTAATATTTACAGACCATCGCCTTATAGGTGGAATATTGCTGAGTGCGGCGTTAAACAACAACCAAGCTCACCCTAAACCAACTACATGGCAAGGAGTCACACAGCCTGACAAATGTCAGCCCTGGATCCATTGTCAAGGTCCCGCAAAACATGACAGAGACATTACTGAGATAAATAGCCCTTTGCAAGGCCTTCCCATGGATCAAATGGCACATATTTGCCTTTCACTTTCCCAACAATTGTACAGGATACAAAGCTTCTGGCTTGCTGGCAATGTAATTCTGTAGACGTACTCTAGTAATGACACATCTGGTTTACAGTGTACGTCAGTAATGTGGGGTGTAGTTGTATGAGGAACATGGCTGGTGACATGCCTTTTGAGTACAACAGTACCTATAACCGTATTATATAACAACTATAGGAAGATACTTATCTTTACATCCACACTGTTTACGAATCGCAGCCTTGGTAAAATTACTTCTGATTTCTGTAATAGAAAATAATTCAAAATAGAAAATAAGACTATAATCCAAACATTCTTTTAAAAATATGTTGTGCATACTGTATGTGTTGACGAAATATTTCGTTTTAATTATGTCTCACGGAATGTTTCCTAGTCATAGTCATATGTGAGTCACAATATATATTGTTTATGTATTTGTGTTTATATGTGTTTGTATTTTCTGTGTGACATCGACCAACGCGGACAACAGTTTCGAAGCATTTAACAACACCAGCGGTGAAAACAGTGCA